GGTCAGGTGCACCTCAGTCTTCAAGCTGACATCTTTGCTCTTCAACTAAAGTGTGCAGCAGATTTGCCTAATGCAATACGTCATTTGATTTCTTGGCTGCTGCTTCCATGAGTGTTGATTGCTGATCCAAAAAGAATGAAGTCCTTGACAACTTTAATCTTTTCTCTGTTGATGTTACGTGGTCAGCCAAAAATATGGTGGTTACCATTAGTTGTTTATACAACAATGGATAACTGAATAATGATTAAAATAGCTTTATTAATACAGACAACATCTTCAAACATAAAGTGCACTATGTTGAAAGTAAGAGTTTACTGGAATTATCTGGTAACCTATCATCCAATACTAAAAATAATTTTGTTATTGCTGTAATGCAGTTAGGTGTGCTACACCAATTTTCCATTTTTAACAATGTTCACAGAATCAGACCTCTAAAAAGTTTTGAAATTATATAGCTATCATAAAGGTCTATTTCATACTGTTCAGATTTTGTTAAGAATAACATTATAGAAACCAAATATACTTCATTTAATCAAATGTTGATATACCAATTAATAACCCACCATTCAAGCAAGAAGGCCTCAGATTTTCTTTTGAAGGTAAAGTTTTATTAATCGTTGTAACTATTATACACTTGAAAAAATAGTTTTTCCAAAATCAGAGTGGCAGGCATTAGGCTTCTTTGGGACCCATCTATAACAGCATTCTGGATTAAATGTGGAAACAGACATTTCAACCTCCCTTCACACCCTTCCAATTGCCCAGTTCTTGGTGGAAAAAAGTTATCCAAACCTGAAATACCACAACAATCTCACAAATATCAGTATCTTGTCATTTGTCAAAAATACAAATTTGCAAAATATTAAGTCATCTGTATTAAATGATTCCTAAAACAGGAAAATGAGATTTTTATATAGCTGAAAACACCTCTCAATGGTCTGATCCATGACATAGAGCAATATATGGGAGCTAAAGGGGAGATATATGGAAACCTAACATTTCAATTTCTGATTAATGATGGAGCTTGAAGTGAAATCCTAAATTTCTCCTGAGCCTGGGACTTTTTTTTTTTTTACTTCTGAAAGGTCAGAAAATCTCAAATTCTTTGAAAGTGGCAATAGCATTTATTTCTCAAGCAACTAAGTCAACTAGCTTGACTGATCAATTTCTACAACCAATGAATCACCAATCAAGATAGGAAAAGTACAATCCAGCTTTTGGGTGCTTTCTTCATTCAGTAGTCACAGAAAAGGTCTTCATAGAAAAAAGAGTGCAGTAACTCAATGAGGCAATTTTTTTTATCTTACAATTTCCACACACATGGAGGGTATTCTAAATGTCTTAATACAGTTTAGGCATTAATAACCTCTGAAGCATACATGTCACAAACTTGAAAAAAAAAGCCACCACATATCGTGTGGAAGTGCGGTTGCTTAACTTTTGTTATACTGCTTTAATTTTGTGATTTTTGATATTTTTATAATAAATTTTGAATATTTTGCTTATGTTTGTTTTTTGTTTAAGTACCTGTGTTTGAAGATGGCAAACAGTAAATGTTGTCATTAGAACTGCATTAAGGATTTTGGGGTACTCTGTATAGTTTCCAAGACTGTACCCATTCTAGCTCATTTCACCTAATAACATTTTTAAAAACCTTTTGTTGTGAATTGAGTGATAGTTTACATGGTTTTGCACTCATTCTGTTGTTTTGTTTCATTGCAATGATTCCAATACCCTCCATGCATCATCATTCAACAGTATTTGCTTTTTACCATTTGTTTTGTTTTGTTTTTT